GCATGGAGAGTAAGGAGTGAAGGGGCAGACAGAGGTCAGGAAAGTTACCTGCATGGTCCCTCCACATGGGTGAGAACATCAGGAATGGTCACTACTCACCACTTAAGAGACAACTCTGTACATTCACACATGTAGAGCACATCGGAATGATTGGAACTGGAGCTAAGTGTAAGATCCCCCATGGAGAGTGTTGAGAGTGAAGGAAATGATATGGAAGCTGGGTTCTAACAATTGAGCAGATGTTTTTCAAACAAAGATCTGAGAAGTGGACATAGGCTGGGCAGCCTAGACAAAGGGGACAGTGTGTAAAATAACACGGAAGCAAGAAAGTGGGTGGTATATTTAGCAAATCATGGGATGTTCACTGTGACAATGTGACAGGCCTACATAACAGACGAAGAACGGTACCAGTAAACACTTCCAAGAAGCCCTCCAGACTAAGGGATGGGGCTCTTATTCTGTAGTCAGAGATCTTCCAGTGGAGGAGTGAATCATCAGATGTGGTTTTCAAAGAGACAACTGTGGACTAGAACAGTGGTTCCCAGGCCAAAAGCACCATCATCCTTAGGAAAATTATGAGAAAGATAAATTCTCAGGACCCACTCCAGAGTTACTGAGTCAGAAGCTCTGAAGGTGAAGCCCAGAGATCTGTCTTAACCAGCTCCTCCAGGTGATTCCGATGCACACTGAAGTTTGCGAAGCTCTAGAAGAGAATGACAGTGACAGACCAGATCACAGTCCAGAAGAGAACAAAGGTCTGGATTTAGGAAGCCGAGGAGAGCAGAAATGGAGAGAATCCTGACTCCTGACACACACATGTGGAAGTGGGTCTGGAACTCCAGGAGAAAATTCTATTAATTGATATCCGGTGCCCTTGGGCAATTAAGCCTAAACAAAGGTAAGAGGTAAAATAGGCCTTTTTAAAGGAAGAATAAAAATAAGTGATTAAAAAATGGGAATGAGTAACAAAAGTTAGTGATTTGAAAATATTAATTATTTTCTTCAATAAATTTAAATTATAGAGATCCGATTTAACCTTCATAGTGAAAGGTCATGTAAAATTCCCTCTATATGGAGAATCTGCATTTTGCTCAACCAAGAATTGAATAGGTAGGAAATAAGTACGTACTTTAACTTAGATGACCAGTAGGAAGAACGGAGACGTGGAAACTTCATGCCAAAGTGGAAACTTGGCAACTGCTTCTTTGATGATACATCTCCAAATTGGGTGACTGGGTTTAAACACAGTCATCTTTGGCACCTAACTTCTCTCTAACTTAGCTGTCCACTGAGTTTCATACCCCACAAGCAAAATATAACTTCGACATATAAAATGTAAATTTAACACTTCAAATTGATACTTTTTTAAGAGAAAGAAAAAATATTCAGATTAACAGCTTCTGTTTTTATTTTGAAGTCCTGATATTATCAACAATTACTTGGACAAACTTTTAAAATATTAAATTACCACAATTAAAAATTGGGTTGGGGTTAAAAAAGTTGGTACTTTCACATGCCTTATTTTGCACTTTCTACTTGCAAATACAGTGTTAATTAATTAAAAAATAAAATATTCTTCTGTGACAAAAGTTTTGCATGTTTATTTGCTTATACTTTTATAATGCATTACAGAATTTAGGAAGAGTCCTTTCTGTGGTGAATTGGGTAAAAATATCTTTCTGTAAAAGCTGATTGGATTAATTATATCCAATTTGACATTTATCCCTCCAAAACAGGCAACTGCAAAGACATTTGTAGAGAGTTTAATCAGCAGGTTGAAAGATCAGATTTGCAACCATATTTCACATTGTAATGTTCAACTCTCCCACACTTCTTCATAAACAATGAGCACAAAACTTAAATGTAAAAGCATAAAGTGAATTTTCACTAACTAAATGATCATGCACTCAGTCAGTTCTTTATCACCTTCACGGGAAAATTCAGAATTTCCTCTAAGAATCAACCCAGACAATTACGTCTCCCATCTCCACCCCATACCTGTCCCATGTGACAACTAAAAATGTCTCCAGATATTTCCAAATGTCCACGACGGGCAAATATACCCCTTTGAGGACCACTAGGCTGGAGAGAAAATGATTGAGTAAGCAACTAAATAGATGAATATGAGTCTATGCTGTTTTACATCTCACTTATACACTTTTCATTTCTCTATGGAGTGAATATGACTTATCTATATCTTCCTTTAAAATTTACATTCCCTCTGTCGGAATAATCCACTGATTCTTTTTTTTTTTTTTTTTTGAGACAGAGTCTCACTGTGTTGCCCGGGCTTGAGTGCCGTGGCGTCATCCTAGCTCACAGCAACCTCAAACTCCTGGGCTCAAGCGATCCTTCTGCCTCAGCCTCCCGAGTAGCTGGGACTACAGGCATGCACCACCATGCCCGGCTAATTTTTTCTATATACTTTTATAGTTGTCCGATTAATTTCTTTCTAATTTTAGTAGAGACGGGGTCTCGCTCTTGCTCAGACTGGTTTGAACTCCTGAGCTAAAACAATCCACCCGCCTCGGCCTCCCAGAGTGCTAGGATTACAGGCGTGAGCCACCACGCCCAGCCTAATCCACTGATTCTTAAATATAGTTTAATATTCCTGTGACACACATTTTTTAGAGAAGGCACTATCCCTACATCATGATATTGCAAATTAACAGCTCATTTTTTAAAAAACTGGCAAATGACCTTTGTCTCAAACTTTGATTCCCAATCATATTGAATGTACAATATTTAACTTAATAAAGTGCTATTCTGCCAAAGAGGACAACCTGATCTTTTCTACTCACATCATTCCTGTGATGTGGGTAGGTGTCTAGTGCTATGTACCATCATTAAAGGAGATCAAGGAAAAATTCAAGGGTAGGCAACTTGTCAACAGCAAAACAGACATTGACACACACAACTCTTGTGGTTTTTTCCCCCCCATTGGTGTTTTTGTGATTCAGAATAACTAAGAATAGCAAATTATTTAATTTACACTATATTAACATTTTATCCCTATTTGATTTTATCCAAAAAATTAAAATTTAAGATACATTATTTTTAATTAATAATATTACTGTGCTTTCTTAAGCAATCTATCTGGCACTTTCATGTGTTTATAAAAGTAAAATATTTATAGTTCCAAATGTTACAAAAATGTACTTTGTCTAAAAGAAAGTGAACAAGAATGGATGCATCATATTTCTCATTAAGAATATATTGCATAACCTCTTGGCAATCACATAAGAGAAAAAGTTAAATAACCAGATTTTGATTTCGAAAATTGAAGCATCTGACATACACATGCATTTAGAATTATCAAATAAATAGTGATAGTTCAAATTACAAATGCATAAAAAAGCAAAATTACGTCCTTCTACTCCTTAAAACATTGTAGAAAGATCCACAAAAATTTGATGTTTGCTTACAAATATAGTGATTTAAAAAATAACATCTATCCACATAAGAAATATATGAATATATAGTTAATTTAAATGTTATATGGATCTGTTTACTTTAGATAAATGCTACTTGTTATTTTTATTTCTTAGTGTTGTCAGTTAGCAACCCCTAAATGTACAGCGCATGGTTATCTAAATAGTTTGGATCAGAAAATAATCATAAAATTATTTAATTATAAAGCATTTGTATGTATCTAAATATTTCTTATTTTTAAAAAAAATTGAAAAGTTTTAAAAAACACTTTTAAACAGTATCTAATGTGGGAACTGTAGAAAAAATAAATTATTGACGAAATCCTATAACCAAACTCTTAGCTATGAACACAGCAAAATAAACAGCTAAGCAACTTTGTTACTTGAGATTTTAAAACATGGAACAAAGAATATACTTAATGAGTCTAGAATATGAAAAAAAGCAGTGCTTGCCCATGTCATTTAGTTCTTTAACTGGATGAATGTACTAGAATTTCAAATTTTTTAAGCCTATGCACCTTTAAATTTAATTGATCGCAAATTAGTTGACATTCAAAAGTTCAACTTAATAGCATTTGATGTAGTCATCTAACTCCATCGAACTTAAACATTTTTAATAATATAACGTTCTAAGTCATCAAATCCATAAGGACCTACATCAAGTATATCTTAGTACCAGGCTCATGGGAGTTTACAATTTATAGGCTAGGACTTGATGAATCAGGATTTGGGGTGGCATAATCCACACTGGGTGTCCTGAGACACATCCAAGCACAAGGCAAAAAACAGAAAATTAGGAAGGCAAGCACAGGTAAAGTGCAGAGCAAAATCAAAGTTAGGGGGTCAGAAACTAGGAATGTAGATAAGAACCATGATCCAGGAAAGGCAACATATGCAGTATAAGGCCAGAAACTCTAGAAAACAAGACGAAAGGCACAAGAAGAGATGTGTAGCACCAAAAAGACCTTGATCATTGGGCCAGATTCTTTCCCAGACAGGATACTTCTTGAGTATCACCTTCCTGAGCCAGAATTGGTTCCAAGGTTAATATGTGCTCTGGGCTGACAGGGGGATAAGAAACAAAGATCTAGACAACATAGACCTGTCACCTCATTGTTCCCGAAGAACAGAGTATGTGGTAGGAGAGAGAAAAGCACTTTCTAATATTAATTATGATTTTGGTAAACTTACATGTTAGTACCAAAGGCATTGAAAATATTTTTTCAATAATGCCCAATTTAAGAATATGCCTTTGATCATCAAATACATGTGCATATGTGCGTATTGGCCTTTCAGCATACATGGAGTCATAACTTTCGCAACTATGCTTCATTGAAATAAGAGAGAGGGAAATGCCTGTGCTGAAACTCTTCACTCCAGAATAACATTAATTAATGAGTGTAGGAAGTGAAGAAAGTCAGGACTTTGTTTTAACAAAAATTTATCCCCCAAAACACTCATGATAGACCAAAAAAAAACAAAAAACAGAAAAACTAAGCCTGATCCAATTATCTTAGAAAATACATAAAATTGAGACACTCTTGAAGATCATGTAGTATCAGAGCTGCTTCACAAACGAGTCCCATTGGTCTTGCCACTTTGATCTGTGAAGTTCAATTCAATATGGTTGAAAGCAGGATTATCAGTTCCACCATCTTCCACTGGATGAGATTTATAGCTTAAAGCACGCTTCTTCTAAAAGAAAATGTTAGCATGGTGATTAGAAAAAAGAAACTGTTCATTCATTTAATTCTAACTAATTTTTACTGCTGTCTTTATTCCTCTAAACCAGCTTTGTAATCTACTGAAAGAGAGAGATATACAACAGGTATAGCCCATCAGAGGATAGAGAGATATACAACAGACAGCTCATCAGAGGATGGGATATACACCTGGATATATTCCTTTCTTGTCCATCACTATTCAAGAAAGGGGCTGAAAACTAACTAGCATTCTATACAGGTAATCAAGCCCAGTCTCCTAATTTAACATACATGAAAGCCAACTCACTTTTTTAAAAATATCAAAATTGAATAAAAAGTCCTCTTTGGTTAGTAAGAATCTTCTGTCTAAGTTCTGTTTTCTTCCTCCTGAAAAAAACATATACATTATTTACAATGTTAAAAAATACCTGTAACTACACAGTGACATTCCATCATACAGGCATTTAACTTATGCACATTCAACTCCATGTACTCATAAAACACAAAGAGAAAGAGAAACTTTTAAATAGTGCTGAAGACATAGGCCACCATACCTTTTCCTCAGTCAGCCTCAGATCCTACAAGCCTCTCACTATGATAAATATGAGTCTTTATACACACACACACACATATATACACACACATATATATTTTTATATATATATATATATATAAAGAACCTCTGCTGTTGCTGTTCTGGAGATAGAATCAACTTTAAATTAATTCATTGAACATTATTGAGTGTCTATTGTGTGCTAGAGACTCCGTAGGTACTGGAGAAACAGAGAAGAACAAAACAATCACTGGACTCCCAGACTGTGGTCTACTTTGGAAAATATTTATCCCCATTTTACTGATGAAGAAAGAGGATCTGGGGCATAGTAAAGAGTCAAGTGGGGCTGAAATGCCAACCATGTCTGTAGGGCCTGAATTCTTACGGGATTTCTAGTATACTACAGGAGGTTTTAAAATATATTTGCCAAAGAATATCAGAATTGTATGTTTCTAGGTTTTTTTAAGGTGCTCACTGCTGCTATGGAGTAGGAATCAGTCATTTATGAAATTAATGAAGTTGAAGTGTTTTTTATGTATGTCACTCACCTGGGTAGAGCATTGCTTTTTAAAATAAAAGATATAGCTATATATGGTAATTAGAATCAAAGCATTTAAGGGAAAAGAAAGAGTACTCAAATGGAATTCTCTGACACCCCACTTTCTTAAAAAAATGAGTTGAATAAGGACCAAAGGTCGACTATTACAAGGAGACTGATCAGGCATGTTCCAGATATGCACAACTGGGTAACTGATGGGAAAAGTTTAAAATCTGTCTTAAAACATATCAAAACAGACAAAAGAATAAACCTACTGTGCCGGCAATTTTGTTTATGAGAAAAAACCAAGTCTTTTGGGGAAAGAAAGAGAATACTTTCAAACAATTGTTACAAATTTCATAATTATAAAAACAAGCGTCACAAAAGTTTGAGAGACAGTGCTATCCAGGTGCCAGAAAACAATTGACAGGAGGGTTCTGTAAAGTGGCACACTGCTGGTAGCTTCGTAACATAAAGCAAACAAAGATGTCAGGCATACTTGGACAAAGCGTAGGACTTCTGACTAGTTATAACACATTTGACAAGGAGGGCAGTGCAGCCTTCCCCCAGCATGGTTGCCATGGGTGTATATGCATGAAAGGGGTGCAGAGAATTAGGGAGCCCAGCACTTCTCACCAACTCCACGTTACTACCCCTGTCCGAACCACTGTGATCTCTCACCTGGATCGCTGCAATGGCCTCCTACCTGCCCCTGTTCCCCTACAGACTATTCTCAACACTGGATCAGAGTGCTGCTTTGAGAATGACTGGAAAAATGAGTGAAAAAATATTCCATAGAGCAGATCTAAAAGACACAGAGATGGAAAATAGGATAGGAAAGACAAGAAAATTAGAGAACTATCCGCCACTTAAACATTTGACTAATCGGTTTCCAGAAAGAGAAAACAGAAAATGACAGGAAATTGCAAATAAATAAGAAAATGCCCAGAACTCAAGGACATGGATCTTCAGATTGACAAGGCCCTACTGAAGGCCTAGGTCAAGGCAGTTATGAAAAAATGGTTTACATGCAAAGGGTCAAGAGGTGGCATGGCATCGTCACTCAATAGCAACACAGTAAGCTAGGAGAAAATTAAGGCATACTCCCAGGAAAAAGAAAAAGATATTTTCGCCTTAGGATTCTCTACTCAAGTTATCAATCAAGCATAAGATAGATTAAAGGAATTTTTTTTCAGACATGCAAAATTTCAAAAACCTCTTTCCTTGTCTACCCTTTCTCAAGAATGTGCTATAGGATGTGCTCCATTCAATGAAGGAAGTAAACGAGAAGGAGGGGAACCCAACACAGGAAGGACACAGAATGAGGACAAAATGAAGTCTCAGGATAACAGCTCTGGAGCAGTCTCAGAAAGCAAGTTATACTATGTGTATTATCAATTTGATTTTTTTAAACACACTCTTTAAAAAATTTATGAAGGTCAAAAAAAGCCTTTGCACTATTTAGATATGAAGGTTATAATTATTATTCCGTACATGTATATACTTCTTTACAGTTTACAAAGAATCAGCACAGAACAACAGAATGATCAAGGCCCAGAGATGCTGTGAAGATATGTGTAAAATCCTGAGCATGTAGTAGCCACACACAGTGTTTCCAAGCATCTTATTTTCATCTTACAGCCACCTGTGAAGCAGGAAGGTCAATTATTATCATCCTCATTTTACACATCAGAAAGCTAAGGCTCAAAGTAGTTATGTGAGCGGCCCAAGTTCATATAGCTACTAAATGGCAGAACCAAGATTCAAATAGAGATGGATCTTCCGCTTTCAAGTCCAGGCCCTTAAATTTCCCAGAAGTAAAATGGAAGAAATAATTAAACTTATTGTTAACAGGATCATAGTAAAATTACATAAATAGCTATAAAACATATATAGTAAATAACAGGAATAGAGGTAAATTCAACAATATTAATGTTTAGATAGTTACCTGTTAGTAAACTGAGAAGTATCCCCACAAATAATGTTACCAAAGTTCCAATAGGGCTGAAGTACAGGTATGATAACGAATACCAGTTATCCATCAGCGGAGTCCTAAGAGAGAGCAAAAGCGTAACTATAAGATTTCACATAATGCAACTAGCAACTACCAGAATGTGCCAACGCTTCTCATGGCAGGGTCAAAACATAAGATTTAATAATGTTTTAACGTCATAATCTGCTATCCCAATTTTATCTTATTGGATGAGGAATTAAAAGTATGACTTCATTTTGACCACGTACTAAAATACTGGTGTCATGTTTATTTGCTCAACTTTTAATAATGTCCCAGGCACTGCTCTTGTCATTGGAGAGTCAGCCATAAATAAAGTAGATAAGGTGCCTGCCCACATAAAGTTTACATTCTAGCAGGGAGATAAATACAATAAACTAATCAACAAACATATTAATTTCCACTGGTGGAAAGTGCCATAAGAAAAATAAAACAAGATGATGTGTCATTAACAGGGAGAAGGGGAAGAGACCACACTACAACGAGTGGTCAGAGAAAACCTTTCGGAAGAAACGACATTTGGATGGAGATCTGACTGACAAAAAGTTCTTGAGGAAAAGCATTCCGCAGAGGTAAATGCCAGCTGACCGAAGCATAGTGAGCAAGATGCAAAGTGGTACCAGACAAGTGGTGGACAAAGGACTTTTGTGGGGCTTGATGTGAGTTAGGATTTAACTCCATGGGCAATGGCACTCATTGCAGTATTTTAAGTGAAGGAGTGACATGATCGCTCTACAATCATTTCTACAACTATTGCTCTAGAATTTCACTTTCAGCTTTGCTAAGAGTTGATTGATTTAGGTGAACCATCCTGCCAAGAACAATATATTAAACTGGGTGATAGGGAGGGATATAGATTTTTAAAGATATCAGAGAGATTAAGCCAATGAGAACTTAAGGGGCCAAGAGCGCAGAAAGAAGGAAAACAATTGAGATTAGCCAATGGAATTAAGAGAGTGTGATGTAGGTCCAAAGAAAAAATAAATCAGACTAGAGAATCAAGAAATAGACCCGCAGGAAAATAGTTATTTGATTTACATGGGTTTATTTGCCACTATATTGCAATGGAGCAAAAGGAGAGTCTTTTCAATAAGTGGTGCTTGGTTCATTAAATATGGGGAAAAATAATCTTGATCACACCATCCACAGAAATCAATTCCAAAGTGGATTATACTTCCTAAATGGAAATGGTTAGCAGTAAAACTTTTAAATTAAAAATCATAGGAATATCTTTATGACCTCATGGTAGGCAAAGATTTCTTAAACAAGACACATAAAGGACTAAACCACATAGGAAAAGACTGAGAAACTGAAATTAATTAAAAGTGAGACATTCCGACCACAGAAAGGTATCATTAAGAGAGTAAAAGGCAACCCACGGAATGGGAACAAAATATTTTCAAAACATCTTGTATCCAGAATAGAACAAGAACTCCTACATAAATAAGAAAAAGGCAGAGAGTCCATTTCAAATGGACTGAAGACTTCAATAACCATGTCACAAAAGTAGGTGCCCCAATGGCCAATCAACATATGAAAAGGTATTCAACTTCATTAATCATAAGGGAAGTACAAATTAAAGCCACACGTGCTAGCAATATATACCCATCCAATATTGGGAACTGAAAAGAATCAAAACTGAATCTGGCCAATGGAAACCAGTATCTAGGTAACTAAAAGCTCTCTCACTCAATCTTCAGCCATGTTGCTCACTGCCCTTGTACCCCAGCCTTACAAACTAGCGTGATCGCTCACGACGCCATGTTTCTTCAGGCCTTCGTGCCTTTGCACTTGTTTTTTCTTCATTGTACAACATACACTCCTTCTTCTGTGTGTGCCCTGGGCTCAATCCTGCCACCTCATTAACTCCAGTCCATGTAATACTCCTCTTAGAAGGTTTCCTTGGCTCCACCCAGGCAGAGTTAGGCTCTTCCTCTTCCTGGCTCCCATGATATCCTATGCATACTACTTATCACAATGTGTTTTTTAAATATTTATTTTCTTGTCCAAGTCTCTTCTGGTCATTAGTCATTTTCCATGATAAAAATGGCCTTCCAGACCTTCACCCTCATTTAGCCAAACCTCTGCATTCTTCAAGTAGAACTATGTCTCTGCAGTCTTGTTAATCTACACTCTAACTTTGTTTATACTCATTCTTTTAACAAATATTTATCAAGTATGTACTAGCTATTTACTATGTGCTAGTTACTACACTTATCATGCTTACTGGGTTCGTTGCTTTGCATATATTTGCACACTCTTTCCAGCTAGATTATAATTTCCTGGAAGGTGGGAAACAGTGGAGGAGGATGACTTTCTTCAATGGGTATTATTAAATAAATGGTCAGCACAGTGCCGGGTACATGGTCCATGCTCAAAAATTCTTGTTTATTAGATGAACTATTTTATAAATAAGCTAACATATAAAAGTGATTATTATGGTATCAGGCACAGAGTAAACCTCAGGTAATTTATTTGTTTCAGGAATCCAAACAACCATTTTGCTTAGACTCTTAAATTAAGGGTGATATTTACATAATCAGGACAAATGCTAAGCAAAATCATGAAACAAGAAATACATCCTGTATGTCCTCCCACTTAACCTTGAATTAATCTCTCCTCCCTTTCTGACTCTCTCTAGTCAGTTTCCCAACACCCTCCCATTAGCGCTTTCATGCCTGTCCAGATTTCTCCCCATGTGTCCTTGCCGCTCTCTCCACAGCACCTCACCCGGTAAAACCTCCCCCAAATATGCCTCGGGCTCTGGAACTACCTTTCCACTCTACCATGTATGGCTTACCTGCCTTGCACTCCCTTGGAAGTCCCACCGGCAGGTATTCTTACAGCTGAATTCCCTCTGGGGCATGAATTACAAATAATGGCTATTTCAAGAGGGAGACATCATGTCTTGATCCAAAAGAGATGACTCTAATGGTGTCATTTGAGAAAAGCTTGCACTGGGGCAATATTCTGGGGACAATGGCCTTGCCTTTGCATTCCTCAAACGTATCCATGGGGTTTGTGCCTTAAGGCTGCACATTTATATTAATATATCCACCGAGCAAAGTCTTGCCCTCACACCCACTATACAAAGAAACACGACTCTACCCATGGATCTACATCTTCAGTCCCCAACCCCTGAGCCCTAGACAAGTACCAGTCTGTGGCCTATTAGTAACCAGGCCACACAGCAGGAGGTGAGCAGCAGGTGAGGGAGCGGGAGAGAAGCTTCATCTGTATTTACAGCTGCTCCCTATCACTCACATGACCGCCTGAGCTCTGTCTCCTGTCAGCTCAGTGGCGGCATTAGATTCTCATAGGAGCATGAACCCTACTATAAACTGCACATTCGAGGGATCTAGGTTGTGTGCTCCTTATGAGAATCTAATGCCTGATGATCTGAGTTGGAGCTGAGGGGGTGATGCTAGTGCTGGGAGCAGCTGCAAATGTAATAAATGTAATGTGCTTGAATCATCGTGAAACTATCCTCCCCCACTATCACCACTCCCTGTCCGTGGAAAAATTGTCTTCCATGAAACCAGTCCCTGGTGCCAAAAAGGTTGGGGACCACCGGTCTATATCATTTCATTAAATCAGACAATCTCGGTACCCGGGGCTAAAAAATGTACTGTGTAAGTGAAAACTCTAGTGGGAAGATTGTACCAGCAACTCACTGCTAGGACTTGGAATTTTAACTGAACAAGTAGTAATTATTTAACATATTTAGATAACTGTAACTTTTGGTCAGTAAAGGCTATACTTAAAAGACTAAGCAAGCAATATTTATTTTATAATTGTCTTTTAATTTTAAAAGTTTTTCAATCATAAAGAAGACAATTCATGCAGCTAGAGCTGGTGTTTGGTAGCATTTACTCAGAATCTCTTTTCATTAATATTTAAGTCTTCTCCAGATCTGTAGACAGGGAAGATATTTATAGAAATTAAGAAAATATGACATTTTTTCCTATTGCTGAATAAAATATCATAGCCAGCCACATGGGTTCTACTCATTTCAGAATTAGGCAAAATCACAGTGTTGTAAGAAAAACAAAAAGCAACTGGAGTTCTCTGGCTATTGCATAAATTTTTTAAAATAGGATATTATAAAACTTAATTCAATACCTTTCAACATTGTGGATGTGAAAAGCACTAGTAGAAAATGGCATTTCTGTGGTTTTCATCAAACTCGTCCCGTTGTATGAGCTGTTGCAGCCACGGGTTTCAAGGTGTAAGGGCAACGTTCTCTCAGGAAGTGCAGGGTAAAATTGAGCTCCAATTCCAACCCATAAAGAAATGGCAAATCCAGCCATTAGCCCAACAAACGTTCCCTGCAAAACAAGAGTGCTTTTAAAAGAAAAAAAACACAGTTTGCTCTGAGATAGAAATTGACTTTAGAATGTCAAGTTCAACATGGTCCAAGCCAAAATGACCAGCTCCCCTCCTACAAGTACTCTCCTCTGCAAGGTCTCTGCTTTGTCAAGAGCACCAGAGTCCCCTTTCCCTCCACCTAGAGCCCTGGAGACTCTGACTCCATTCTCTTTTTCATATCCCTATCTAGCATATCACCACCTCCTGCCCATTTTTCTTTTCAAATATCTCCTACTTCCATTCCTTCCACTCTGTTTCCATGGCCAGCACTATGCTCTGGCCTCATCACTTCACACCCAAAAAACTACAACAGTCACACAGTTGACTCCAGGCCAATCGATCCCTCTATTTTTATTTAATCTGGGAACAAATGGCATGCTGTATGAGCACCAGACTATGAGACAAAAGCAGACACAGGGTTTAGCCCTCTACTTAACCACATGCATGACTGTGATTGTGCTGCAGGATAATTAGGGAACACTAGCAAGTAGTTTTTACAAATGACTGCAATAGTGCACACAACCAGACCAGGTGTCTCTAGAGACAAATAGAGATGGAGTAGGGGAACTTACTTGGCCAGCTGTCCCCTCTGAAGACTTTTGGTTTCTCAATCTTTGGAAGACTTGGCACCCCCATACACACACCCCTTCACCAACAGCCCAAGTGTTCTGCCAACCCTTAATGATGTAAGCCCTGGTTCCAAATCACAGGGACAAAAGCAAACCCTGAGCTGGGAAGCTCCTCCCCGTTGTGAAATATCTCCCATTCCTTTAGGGATAATGATCAGACAGGCAGCCTGAGCCTCAGGAGCCACATCGAGAAGAACAAGAGGGGTATTTGAGGTAAGTGGGGAAATATGAATAAAATCACAAGGTAGGAAGAAAAGAATGGTGTGTTGATGACAGTGCAAGAATGATGCTGGCCAGACCAGGGGATTTCTCTTGGGCACAAGGACTGTGAGCTCTTTCATATGCTGTGAACCCCTTGAGAGCAGAATTAGGTGTCTTTATTTTCAGCACCCCAGCACTTAGCACAATGCTGGATATGAAGTAGGAAGACAACAAATGTTTTTAAATAACATGAGGTTGGAATAGTAGGGTGGTCAGCTGTTGACAGGCCAAACTTAGCTTACTCTCAGCACCATACATGGCTTGATCAAGGATCCACAAAATTATAAAACCCGCAAGGGTATGCAGTGCTCTACATCTAAGACAGTGTTTAGCCCATAAATATTTATTGAATAAATGACCACATGAATGAATGAGAGGGAGGGAGGGAGGGAGTAAAAAAGGAGGGAAGAAGGTCACGCCAAGGAATGGTAGATAATCTGCTGTTGAAAAACTCAGATATGGTAAAAAGAGGTACTTCCTATGGCAGGAATAATAGTGTCTTCCCCACCCCCCAAAAAGGGCATGTTGGACTCAGGTAGCTACAGCACCTCTGAAGGCAATTCAAGAGGGCAACAAGTGTCAGAAACCAAAAGTTGATCTTTTTTTATTTTTCAGATACTCAACAAATCACCATGTATTTCATCATGCAAAGAGTCTAATCGAAGCTTCAAAATTCTGAGGTGAACACAAACAAGTCTCTTTCATTGTGATTAATTTCTACCAAACTAGCTTTTCATATGATGTTTCACTGAGACTTATTAGTAATAATAACAACAACAGCCCTTATTAGTATCTGCCTTACCAATTCCTAATGCCTTTATGTGGAAAATGGAATTCTGAACATGAAGTCATAGTTCTGTGGTTATTCCGTATCTGCCTGAAACAACTATACGTTCATTACCAGTTTTTCATGAACTTCATCTTATAACAGGACTGAACCAGTGGACTTTCTCTTGACTTTCAGAGAAATAACTTCTTCCTCATTTGTTCCAAACAAAATGTAGTACTTCTAAGCACAGATATGTCTACACAGAAGAACAGAGATATTACCTCTTTCTGGACAATATTCCCAATTATGATCACTCCTTTAGGGCTAAAACATGTTGTGGAAGCTATAGCTTTAAATATCCAGAGAGGAAACTTTCTGGCCAAAGTGGCAAAGATCTTATTGCTTCTCTTTGCTATATTATGTATTTTTTTAAATTGTGTCCTTTAAGAGATGAGGTCTTGCTCTGTCACCCAGCTGGAGTGCAGTAGCATGATTATAGCTCACTGCAGCCTCAAACTCCTGGTCTCAAGTGATCCTCCCACTTCAGCCTCCCAAGTAGCTGATATTACATGTACAAGCCATTAGACCCAGCTCTTTGCTGTACTGTGGCTATTCACAAGCATTCCCAGCTTTATTGCCCTTAAGTCTCTCATATCTCAGCCTGTTGATCTCATTCTTTACACTCTGGCCATTAATTTTTAAGAAGGGCAAGAAAATAAGTGTACAAACTATGTTGCTCCTTTAATTATATTATGAATATTTAAAATTGCACTATATGGTTCCGGCAGTTTCCATTTAGCTTCACACATGCAGGGTCCAGTGTAGAGTACTTCATTGCATACTCCCTTGAAGTCAATACGGGTAATGTAAGTGATCAAGACAAGTTTCTATTGACAGATCTCAGAGGAACCATATTTTACAACTGAGAAAAAAGTATAGAGCTGTTACTGCAGTTGGGAAAGTAATCCTCACACATATTTACTCTTTATACTTACAATTGAGTTGGCAAAGGGAACCAAAATGCCCAAAGAAAACATGCCCAGAAGTGGTCCACCAACCACGCCAAATATGCTGAATGACGCCTACAAAAATATTACAAAGTCAGCAATTAGCAGATGTAAATCCAGAATAAAATGTTTGAAAGTAATTTCATCAGGATGACTATTTAAAGTATTCAGTCTCCTCCTGAAAATCATAGTTTTATTCATGGAAGCCTTGTCATTGGCAAAGAGGTAATTAGAACTTAGAAGCTTCTGCTTCTCCATCTCAAGTATGCATCTGTTCCTCCAAGAAAAGGCAACAAAGTGCAAAGAAGATAGAGGATCCTGGGACAATGGGAGCACCTACATGAATGCGTAAATCAAGAATGACACCATTGCCCTCAGTCCTGTTCTTTCAGATATTTATAAATCACAGCACTCTTTTGTGCTTTGATAGTCTCAAAATCTTCCTCAAAACAAGATTGTGGATAAGTACTGCTAAGTGACCTGAGATGGTAATGAAACCCATTTTCCATTCCTGATTTGGTTCCCTAAGGATGAAAGAGAATGAAAAATATAATTTTTAAAAAATTGATCAAATTGTGTAGAAATAGATTTAAAATCTAATTGGATAATTGCAACCTTTGTTTTGATATAGAGATGCAAAAGCTATGATAGTGAAAACGATTTACGATCCGAAGCATGAAGATATGCAAGTAACTGAAGCTTCCAAGAGATGTATGTTCCCAACAATAAAATGCCTAGTTTTTAAGAATGGACAGAGCCATAAAAGAATTAGCCAGATGACTAAAAATTAGCTGGGCATGGTGGCGCATGCCTGTAGTCCCAGCTACTCGGGAGGCTGAGGCAGGAGGATCGCTTGAGCCCATGAGTTTGAGGTTGCTGTGAGCTAGGCTGACGCCACAGTACTCTAGCCTGGGCAACGAGTGAGACTCTGTCTCGAAAAAAAAAAAAGAAAAAACTGGAAACAATCCTGATGTCCTTCATCAGGTAAGTGGTTAAACAAACTATGGTACATCTGTACCAGAGAATACTGTCCAACAATAAAAAGGAACAAACTAATGATACATGCAACAACCTGGGTGAAATCTCCAGAAAATTATGCTGTATGAAAAAGGTTATATACTATAAGATTCCATTTATGTAAAATTCTTAACCTCAGGAAATTGTAGCAATGGAGAACAGTGGTTGCCAGGGCTTAAGGAGGGAACGGGGGCAGGAGGAATGTGGATGTGGCTACACAAGGGCGCAGGAGGGATCCTTGTGATGATGGAAATGTCTTGCATCTTGCCTATATCAATGACAATATTCAGGCTGTGATATTGTACTATCAAGATGTTATCATTATTGCAGAATGTTTTCTCAAGATGTTACCACTGAGGGAAACCGAGTAAAGGGTATATGGGCTCTCTCCATATTATTTCTTACCATTGCATATAAATTACCATATGCAATTACCATTGCATATAAATTACAATTACCTCAAAGTAGAAAGTTTCATTCAAAAAAATTGTAAAGAAGGTAGTCATCTCTGCCTCTTGATATGTCTATGTGTAGATATATGTCTAGAGAAGTATGGAAGGATGGTCACATCAACATTCAAAAAAAAAAAAAAAGAATTTAGTGATCATGATTCAAGCCTGCAGGAGTAAGCTCTTACCTGTAACAAAGCTCCCATTATCGATGCCAGCGCCGCCATTCCGATACACAGGACTCCATACAACACACCTAGGTGGATGACACAAGAGCAGGTGTAAAATCTAGACTGGAGAATTAGAATTCTCAATGGAATAAGCCACCACACCTTTGATTTGAAGTTGAATAATATGACTGTGGCGAAGAATGGCCACGTACATCAGAGCCAGCAAGAAAAGGAAACAGCTGTTGTGCGACAGGATCAGCAGTGCACGATGAGGACAAACAAAGCCCTTATGTTGTGTCCCGGATTAGTTACAACAGTAGGTTATGTAAGTACAGAATCCCTAGAATGAACTATAGGGATTTTAAAACTAAGTACTACATCGTATAATTAATCTAATCCTCCATGACATTTAGATGTAAAGGAAAACTCAGGTCTCTGTTTCAGCCTGCCAAAAATAGGGCACCATTCAGCTCTGCCCTGTACAACCAGACAGGGGAGAGAAGGAATAAACAGTAGAAATCAGAGTCTCCGGACTTTAAGCATTCATTTCTCTGGGAAGTGGCAATCCATACCAGGGGATGTTTTGGGACCTCTAGCCCCCTCATAATCTCCACGAGTACTCGAAGTCTTTCCTATTAAACTAGCAAAGAAAGGCAACTTCAAGACGAGTGTCTTATTTCCCCCTTCTTGCCACGTTGTTTCCCCTAAACGTCTTTACAGAAATTCTCAAGCCACCATTGGTGGTCCGATTATGGAATTTTTTTCTTCCTCTTTTGATTTTCAGTATTTTTCAAATTTTCTCCAGGTACATGTATTGCTTTCAAAATTACGGAAATATTATGCAAAAAAAAAACCTTTATTTTTTGAGTTTCATTCAGTAAGTCACCTGAAATCAGTCAAGGTAATTACTGACATTCAGAATTCAAAATGCAAAAAAAAAAAAAGGAATGGGAAATCGGCTTATAAAATTATTGCATTCCTTATATTATGTTATTTCTATCTTATTATACTAGCACTCATACCTTTGTTAAATATATTGGGTAAATAATCTCATTGCACCCGAAGGAAAAATTTTACATTAATTTTTCTCAAAGAGCTCTTGTTACAATGATTTTTATGTCTCTCAATCGTAATTTAAATAGTATTTCCAACACATTTAGCTTGATTTTTCTCCATTTGATAGGCCATGAATGGTCACCATTATGAGGTTTGGTATTCAAAGTTATTAGAAACATACTCAAATCATCTGCCAAGTTCTTCTCTATGATGTCCTTACTGCATACACCTCAAGATTATGAGGTCAAGTTACCCTTAAAAATGAATGAAAATTTCATCAATATTCTCTGAGTTGAATTGTCGTTCATCAGTGTCATTCCATGAGCACCAGGCAGTGCCTCTTGTTTTATACCCATTATCTCAAAACCTCATAGTAACCCTGCAAGGTATCTTTGTGCCCATTTTCCATATGAAGAAATAGAGGCTCATATGGGTTACTGGATTTCCTCAAGGCTAACAGCTAGTAAATTGATGAAGCAAGATTGGGTGTATATGGCTTCAAAAGCATCTATTCATTTTACTAAACCACACAGCCTCCATAATCCAATAATGAACTAAATACTCTTTAGAAAGCATTGTATCATTCCAAAATTATACTCCAGGATTAAAATTTGGTACATAATAAAATGATGCATTGTTATTTAAATTTAGGGAACATCTAAAAGTGTAAATTAAGTACTTATTCCATGCTACAGCTGTGGCAATTATTTATAGAATTATGGCTCAAAACAGAGTATCATTTACTATTTCTTTGACAGTCCATTTATGTTACTGTGCTGAGATTGAAGATTCTTTTTTCAAAAACAAATTTGTTAGTCATTCATTCCAAATGAAGTACGCTCGCAAGATTTCTTTGAGTTGGATATTACATTTGAGACCAGTGGGAGCTGGAGATCTTTAAACCTTTCCATTCAAGCTGGTATTTAACCCCTAATATGGTTCTAAGAACAGAATTTGAGAATTCCTTGCACAATCTTATAGACTATCTCCAGGACAGTGTACATGAGCAAAGAACAGACAATCAAGATGAGTCAAAGATCACAACACTGTTTCTTTATCTTCATATATACAGACCATGCACCTGAAACTGACATATGAAAAAGGTCATGGAGAAAAAGTGTGGCTCTTTGTTCCAAACTAAGGATATTTCTTAGAACTGTTGCCTAAAGTTAAAAAGGGAAAGAGTTTAATTTTTTGCGTGTATGGCTAAGAATTTTAACATAAATTTGGGAAAAGAAGAAGGTAGGAAAGAAGAACAGCCAAATACAGTAGGACCCTTGGGAATCGTCCTTTGCGATCCACTGACAACCAATTGTTTGAAGTGTCTCCCAAATCTTGATTGCAAATACAGCGGTGTCTACATTAAGTTGCAAGCACACATATGAGGATTTACAGTCATACTCAGAGGTTCTTACTCTATAAGTTCGGTGGAAAAGAATTTCTGGTGTCTCAAAAAAATCATCTCTCTGAGCTAAAGTGGAATTATGAAAACAGAAACTTACTCATTCCTTGGGAAATCCAAGATAAAGACCTTTCTGAGAGCGATCTGAAGTGAGGTTTTATTAGATCTTCCACAGTTACTGCTGCTAAGGCATTAATACTGGAGGACACTGTGCTGTAAGGAGAAATACAACTTTTGATTTATAATATGGTACCTCTAATAATACTCTAGGATGAGAAAGGGGGGAAACAAAATGTCACTTCTAAAATATAACCAGATTTCTACAATGTTATTTTTAATGATCACAGCCTCTCTTTTTGGAATCTGTTATCATCCGGGAATGATTCAGGCAACATCCATAGGATTGATAATAAAAGAGAAAGGACACGTTAATGTTGCCTCCATTTTGTGGTTAATCTTCAATGTCTATGAAAAGTATCTACATAAATTACTCAGTATGACTATACACAACAACTTTAAAACATATTTTTCTTTGTGCATAGAAAGAACTGTCATAAGTCCTCCCTAACATATACCATAAATGTCAACAATATTAATTTCCTGAATCCTCCCTAACATGTGCTATACATGTTAATAAGAATTCCCTGCAGCAAACACAAGAAGAAAGTGCAATGAATAAGTTCAATCACAAAACACGAGATTCCCTGGGCAGTGTATATTATTCAACATGTAAATGGGATATTTAATTCTAATTTTCCAGTTGACCATGCTTTAGCCACATGTATGTTTTAAACAAGGCTGTAAACACCCATATTTGATAATCAGTGAAAGCTACCATCAACCGATCATCATTACTGTGACATTATAAAGTATTTGATGGGGTATTAGACAGCAGTTAAAAGTGGAGACTGATGACAAGAGCATGACGGCTCACAGAGGTAAGAGTCAGATAGACGGAGAGGATACCTGCGGCAGATGCCTACTTTGGGCCATTCGTACCTATGACAGAATTCAGCTTTATCCCCCGAACTATCTCAAAATAAAAGAAAGATCCCCAAAGGAACACCATGTGTTATTTGGGTCGTAGTTCATACCTTAATGTTCCACTATAAGCACAGGCCACGAAAAGTCCAGGAAGTCCTGGATAATCTTGAAGAATGTCCAGTACCAAATAAGGCATGAGCTGAAAAATTCCAAAATTTACTCCTGAGTACTACTTGCTACTGAATAAAATTAATTAATTTTATTCTTCAGGAACTTAAAGGAGCTATTCCACACAACTGAAATTTCCAAATACCTAAAATTGAACTATTTAAC